ATGCTATTCCCTAGAGCAATCCCGGGTAATTTCCTACATACAAATCTCAGAGTCTCAGACAACCCGTGCTGCAACGATGCTGAGATGAGCTGTGATGATGGCACCTCAGTGCCTTTAAAGATCAAGACTGTGCTGATACTGATAAGAATATGCAGTGGGTGTCAAATTAATTGATTTGGCTTATATTTATTGCCTATTCTCAAATAAGTTATTTCTTTCTTTATTTGAAGTTTCTATTAGAAAGAGAATACACAAACTTGAATTTCACAAGTATATATGATTTTCAAAAGTGTGATATTTCTTTAGCAAAGATTCAACTTCAGGCTCCTTTCAGACATTGATTATTCTCAGTATGTCACTAGTCTGAGTTAAGCAATATTTACCTTTTATGTTAGAACTGAAAACCAAACAACAACAAATTCATGAATTCAGTTATGCCTATTGTTATCTATTTTTTCCCTAAGTCTAAATTATATATACCATAAACTCTATCATTCGCCTTAGTAAGAGTACAGGATCATTTGGGCAAACCAATATTCTGATAAATAGCGTTATCACATTTCCATACATACTTTGCCAATTTTTAATGAATTAGAAAACAGTAGAACATATTTATCACTAAAAGTCTGCTACACACAATTTTATTTTTCATAATTCCAAAGGCATTTGGCATTTGAATGATTAGCAGTGCATTATAAATCTGTGCAGATAAGCTACTAGAGAATGACAGATAAAGCCAGTTTTAATCTAAGTGTATCTGTGATTATGATAAACATGAATGCCCACATTTGCATACCTTCATCTTGTTGAATACAATTATGTGGACTGTTGTTATAAAAATTGGTAATTGGAGTATAGCAGGAAACTCACTGATTCAAATGAGAGGAGACAGATACATGTTTAAAATAAGATAAAATTTACACACACTGTACATTAGCTGTACACTTTGATGGAAATGATACATACTAGTGTAACCAACAAGATATAGAACATGTTCAAAGCAGGGATTGTGTGGGAAGGTCTTTGGACCAACAGTGTGCTTGGTTTCACGAGACAGCTTGTCAGCGGCTGGATCTTGGTGCCGCTTCACTCCTCTTGTCATCTCCATTGCTTCCAGCAGCTTCCATCAGCATCCACCGCACCTTTCCCCGGCTGATACTCACTGCACACAGTTCTCATCAGACTGAGGGTGACTTCCTCTCACTGTCCCAGGCGGGGCTGTTTCCACTTTCCCTTCTCAATAGTCCATTGTTGTCTTACTGGTTTCAAACGATCTTTCTCACAGTGGACACACACAGCAATCAGATTTCCTTGCTTCTTCCAGGAGCCTTCCAAACCTTGGTTGGTAAATTTTCCCAGTACAGTCCTGGGGAATGAGTAGGGAGCAAGTCATACCACTTGCTTTTATAGATGGACGCCTCGAAGCAAAGTGAAGTGAAATGGCTTCCTAGGCCAATGAGTCTGACACTAACTCACAATTATACGACCTAGTTTGTGCCATGTTGGTTTTTGTTTTTGTTTTTGTTTTCCTCCAGGAGGAAGGGGATTATGATGGAGTTCCAGAGACAGTTATCTAATCTCTTTAAGTCTCTCAATTTTTCTCGCCTCTACTTGACAGGCTATTCCACAGTCCAGGTGTGAGGAAACAGGCCTGCAGGAGACACAGAGGTAAGAAGAGACACAGGGGGATCGGCGTGAAAAGCCTCAGGTCTTGGTGATGTTTTTACAGATTAGGAACAAGAAAGAGACAGCAAAGGGTCAAGACGGGCAAAAAAAGTCAAAACAATAGTTCTTCACACTGTTTTATCTGCACACTTCCTGCAGTTTCATCTTCAGCAGCTTAACAGTTTAATTTCAATATACGTAAACATTTTTAATTTGACTCTTTTCAGTATCAAAAAGATGACAACGTAGAAACTGTAAAGAAGACAGTGACTTCTCTGGGAAATCCCTCTTCTCCACCCCAAACGATCCTCCCCACAATGTTTTTCACGTTAACTGACTGGCTGTGTTGAAATAGCCACATTTAGGTATTAAAGGGAATATATATTTAGAGGCTTAGGAAATTATGCCAGAAGATTTTCCATGCTTTGGGCAACAGGAGGCGTAGCCACCCAGCATGTTAAAAGGAACTGTGCGGCTGGCGTCGCCCCTGCCCTCCCTCTGCAAACAGAGTCAGGAGACAGGAGCGGTCGGAAGTGGTGCCGCTCTCGCGCTGTTCTTATTGGCTGGGCTGCAGTTCACCTCATGCCCTTGGCGTAATGACTATGCTGTGGGATTTGACGGTTGCAACATCTAATCTGCCTCAAAGGCTCTCCGCACTTCCAGGGAGTTTCACTGGACCTCCCTTGGTCTGGTGTAAGATCTAGCTACAACTTTAATTACTAGTCTCCTTGAGAGAACCACGGAGACTGTCTCCCACACCATGACTCCGTCCACTCAGCTATGAATGAACAATCCAGCTCTTGATGGCTAACTCCCCAAACAAGGGTCAAACCCAAAGTGTGAGTAAAACAACGTGTGTCTTACACAGCCCAGCCCGGGCATGCCGCTCCTATGCTGCTTCTTAGGCAGCATTGTACACTCATCTGCAGCCTGAGTAAAACTTTCTCTGGCACCTTCTTCTGACTCACCAGAGCATCAACTTAATCCACTATAATAATAAAGTATTCTATGTAGCTGTACTTGTGGAAGAGGCATCATCAGGGTTGCTTAGCAGCAGAAATTGGTTTATTAAAAACAACTTTCTGTGAGGAAATCACCCCCTCATTTTCCTATGGATTGTGTCTTCTGGTTGATTGACTCACTCACTGAACGGCTAAAAAGATTTTCTCCGTGTATGTACCTGGAGAGCAAAACGGCTAGGAAAGACTCAGTATTAGAAAGTGTATGAGACACCTTGAAGTGACTAGGGGCACCATGTTTCTTCTGTCCAGAAACCTCTAACTAGACAGTCGGAGGACTCAGTGAAGCTGAGTGTCCCTTGCGCTGCTGTCAGGTTTCATATGAGCTCCAGCAGGACGAGGAAGAAGCTCAGAGAGGGAAAAGGGACAACGTGTCAAGCTGGGGATGAGGACAATCAACCCAGGAAAGGATGCAGACTTGAGTTGTTACCTGGTGACTCGAGGCACCACTGTTGCCAAATTCATTTTGTTGAACTATGTGTACTAACAGTTAAGCACATGGGGCCAGGAAGGTAAGGAAAATAGCAAAACTACCTCTGTAAGGGGGGTGGGAGGGAAAATCATCGACATTTCTTGAATGATTATTATGTGCTAGCCATTGTTCTAAGTGCTTTTGGTACACAAAAAGAATTGTTTTTAAAGATCAGAAACCAAGACTTTGAGAGGTTAAGTTCATGAATTCCGTTACCTGTAAGCACAGGGATGGGATTTGAGCCCTGGCAACCAACGTTCCTATCCACCGCACTCTCACTCAGATAATTGTGACCATGAGGGGGATTGTGGCCCTCAGCTGTCAGATCTTCCCATTTTTTCAAGAAAGCCAGTTTATCTGAATTTACTAAGGAGATTCTTCCGAATTTTTAAATTGTTGGCAGTATCTTTTTTTAAAACGTCTTAATAAAACTCACTTCAGGTCAGCGATTGAATGCAGACTGAATGCGATCTAGGATTACTTCCTGCCCAAAGTCATTAATTAGGTCACTGTTCAACCTGCAACCCTGTGTACATGTTGGGTAAACCTGGAAGCGGGAATATAAACAGGTACCCACACCTGTCCCATTGCATAAAATGTCCTTTGGGGAAGCTTTGCTACATTGGGTCATTAGAGTGAGTCTGACCACCTAGACTTGTTAGTTTCACCAGAAAACTGGGGGAAACGTGGATTTCAGATTTGCAGTGGAATAGAGTCTAGACCTGGGTATTTACGCCAGAGTGCTATAATCCTATAATTCAAAGAGGTCAGTGGGTTATAAGTGAGCAGAGATACTGACCCTCTCAGCCCTTAGGGGACTGGGAGTTTCTGTGGTCTAGAGATTTCTTATCTTCGTTGATGACCTCTGGCCATAAGTAGCTCCTCTTTTCAGTTTACCTCATGCTACAAATACTACAAATTTTTAAAAAGTGTGCCATGAAGTTAAAGTAGTTGGGAAGTGCTATTCTGGTCTGTTTCTTATATAATGTGTATTGCCCATCAAGCTTTTTTCTTTTTAATGAATGGGATCTACATCTTTATACGAATCCTTTAATGAAACGTTTCTCTTCTGCTCCCCTGGATAGCAACAGATCTTCTTTCCAGTTCTCCCCTTCCTCATTATTCATGGATCCTTTTATTAAAACATATCATTTCATTCATTTATTCATTCTAGTTCTCTTTCTGACTTCCAATCTCATATAGCAAGGATGGGGAGTGAAACAACGTGTGATCTTTTCGTGCCCTGATGCTGCCATTTGCAAAATAAAGGGGTGGGCTAAGTGAGCCCCTAAGGTGCCTCATGCATTCTAGAATTCTAGCACTTCTTGGAGGACTGTAAGAGGAGAGAAGTAGTTACAAACACACACAGATACACACACACAAAAATGTTAGAAGTCTTTGGTGTGTGAATTCAAGAGGGTAGGCCAGAGGTCTCTATAAAAAGTTAGGATTATGACTAGGACGGATCAGGCCCTAGGACACTGAGAACCAGGCAGCACCATGAAGGTTTGTGACAAAGGAGGTCTAATTCCGCCCACCAGAAGTGAATTTCTCATGATGGACTTTCACAGGTTAGAACATATTTTCACATAGAATAACTGCTTGCAGATTGAGAAGCATTTGAACATAATAGTGTTGTGTCTGATCCTCACACAATCTTGGGGGCAGACAGTAGAATGTCTAATCTCCCATTTTACAGATGAGAAAACTGAGTTCACAAGCAGTTAAGGTCACAGAGCTGAGTCCCCGCTTCGGTTCCCATGAATCTCCGTAACACTTACAGGGAATGGGAGTCAGTGGGGTTCTATCAATGAGCAGCCATCTCAGAAGCAGAAGCCCTGGGCATGGAGCTGGGGACCCCCTGGGACATAGTGCCCCTGCAGGCTGGAGCAGAGGCCTGTGCCTGTGAATGCCATGATCGGTGGGTCACCAAACAGATGCACTAGATTTGGGGGTAGCCTGACAAGTCAGTTTGCATACTCTCCACTGGGGCTACGTCCTTGTGGTAACATCTCCAACCTAGACACTCCTGGAGTCCCTCTTCTGGAATGTTCCAGGACCACAGCTTTGGGGCTCTGGGAGGCTGTGGAATCGAAACGATCTAGGAATCTGCAGGGACTCATGCTTCTCTGCTGTGTGCTGTCACGTGAGGCCGGATGCTAGTGTGTACTTTTGCTGCTGTTCAGACTGCTTATCCTCTATAGGTTATTATTCCACAAGTAGACCTGGAATGTTTTCTCATACATCTGAATTTAATTAATAACCTTTTTCTTGCTGACATGGATGTGGTCTTACTGTTTCTGGCCAGGCCAAAGATGTTTGAAGATAGATTTCTGAATCGTGGGCCAATTTCCCTGATCTTTTAAACCCAAAGCCTCTGCTGTGAAATGGAGATTTGTAACTTTGACACGCTATCTTCTGTCACTTTCTGGTCACTAGGGAGCATGCAGAAGCGACTGATCCCAAGAGTCAAGGCTGTCCCCTGCACCCTCGCTAGGGTCCTCACAGGATTCAGAGGACTACCTAATTTTCAGTATTTGGAAGACTGTGTCAGGATCACCCCAGCTGTACTTAATCATCTCATGACTTGGGAGGGGTGGTAACGGGATTAAATTTTCCATACTGTGGTTCATTTCTGATGTGTCTGGCCTGTGGAACCTTCGAGGGCATTATGAGCTTTCCTTTCTGTGTCCCAAAAGGACTAAGAGCAGAAACAAATATTTATTATTTTGGTAGCTTCTCTGTTTAGCAATATTGCACCTTCGGTGCTGATGCTGCTTAAAGAATAAGAGAAGATTCAGTAGCGCTGACAAGGGCACATTCCAAACCCTCTGCCCCTCCCCTTGCGTGATGGTCACGCCCCCTGCACCTCTAATTGCTCCCCAGGTGCTCATCCCAGCAGCTGGCTCAAATTTAAACAACCACCCCCAGGGAACACTGCCTCTTTGGTGCATGTTGTAATCAGGAGATTATGTCTCTCTTCAGATTCTGGGGTTCATGCCATTTAGGGTGGAAAGTTTGGGGAGCAGCAATGCTGGGACAGTAGCATCCATGCAGCCATCCAGTCATGCCTCCATCTAGTCTTCCTTTACCCAGTGATGAGTGCCCAGTGTGTGCCACGTGCTAAGCTGGGTGCTGCGCATTCAGTGGTGAACATAGCAGCCTCGATCTCAAGGGGCAGCTTCTGCTTCTGTACAGCAGTTCAAGGAACTTCATCCGCCATTGTTTCAGGTGTGTTCATTACTGCCAGGAGTCTGTTCAGAGACCTCATTACATTTTGGAAGCTCTGGGTCCTCTCTGCTCCTTGGGACCCTGGCCCCTGGTTGGGCATGGCCCTCAAAGGGCCACCGCCAGCACCTTTCAGATGAGTACTGCGTATGGAGAGGGGCAGGGCCTGGGTCCCCCACAAGACCGTGTCATCCCTGGCTCCAGCCACAGAGGTTTCATCATGGAGGGAAGCTGAGCTGTGAGCATGTTGCTAGGCTGTGGCTCTTTATTTTTATAAATGAGCCTTGTGCTTAATTTAGAAACCTGCTTTTGCTTTTTCTTTCTTTCTTTTTTTTTTTCCAGCATCATCTGGCTGTCTGGCAGCATCAAACAGTTGTATTTCTGACCCAACAAGCACTCATGGGTGGAAGAGGGCAGGAAGAAGGTTGGGGAGAGGACTGATGCCAGCCAGGCTGCCTCACAGGGAGGTGGAAACACGTGGCCATGCCATTAGCATCCTGTTCTGGATGAGTTTCATCTGTGACACCTACATAGTTCTTACTGGGAACAACGGGATTAAAAGCGGCCCTGGTGCTGGTTCCTCTTCTGATTAACCACACCCGGTACACAGCGGAACAGAAAGCCAAGCTGCACAGAAGACGACCAAAGTCAGGTGCCAGAAGCGGGTGACGTCCAGAGCCTCAGTTTTTTGGCCAGGGCTATTTTAACAGAGTCGCTTTTTTTCCGCAGCTATTTTGATGCAAGGATATTTTGATTTGGCCTAAAAATTCAGCCGATAAATGTTTAGTTTTTCAGCACAGGGAATGTAGCTAGTATTTTATAAAGAGTATAATCCATAAAAATAGTAAATCACTATGTTGTACACCTAAAATTAATGTAACATTGTAAATCAATTATACTTCAATAAAAAGTAATTTTAAATAAATGATGAGTAAAATGGGCCTTTTTCACTCCATTTGTGAGTTTCATACCAGCCCCCCAGCTTTGCCCAATTGCCAATCCTGCCTCTGAACATCAAGGTGTGTGAATCAGGGACAGGTAAGGTAAAGGTGTGGCAGAGGTTCAAAATGGGAGAGATATCAGGGATTGGGTAACAGTCAAGGACGCAGTAAATGTCAGGAACGAGGTGCCCATCAGAACTGGCAGCAGATCAGGAATGGCGGGTGGTTGAGAGGCAATGAGAGGGTCAATAGCCCTGAGATGGAGCAAGAATCAGAGATGGAGCGAGGGGTGCGAATTCCGTTATAAATCTAAAATCCAGTGAGCTTACATTTTGATTCCCTTGCTTGGAGGCTGTCAGAACAGCTGCATGAAATTGCTGGGCAAGAAAATAGTCCACTTAGGATTCAGAACAGCTCATGCTGGCTCTTCCATGGGAAGTGTCTGACTCATCAATGTCTATGCATTTCACTTCAGGGCTGGTTTGAGCCTCAGTTTTCCCACATAAAATGCAGATGATCATGTCTACCCTTCTCTGTCCCCACTCGTGTTCTCCCTCCAAGCGACAGGATGAAGAATGAGCCAGCAGCTCGTAAACTGCTTGGAGCGACTTGAAAAAGTGCTTGCACACCCAGCGGGCATTAGTCTATATGAGTGCTCGATGAGTCAAGCGTTTCTGAGTTGGGCAAGTGTAGCCGTCTCTGCCTGGTGACTCATGTGGACACAGTGATGCCTTTAGCTGGAATGCACGGTGTTGGTGATGAATTTGTTCTTGCCATGGAAGAGAACTTCTTCTTTACCCAGATGCTATCAACGTGAGGAGTGTGCACAGGGGCACCAGGGGATTAGATGGGAAAAAGTTGAATCACTTTGCTGTATACCCGAAACAAACACGACATTGTAAATCAATGGTACTTCAATTTAAAAGCAAAAAAAAGAGTTGAAAGGAATCTGGCATTTCTGGCTGCCATCCAGAGTTCCACTGTACAAAGAACTATGGTGGCATGTTTGTGCCCAGTCATCGACTTCTCTTTGCCAGCAAAGAAATTCTTCCAAATTCATCTGCCATTTGTCAAACTTGCCAAAGTCCGCAGAGGTAATTCTGGTGTAACTGAAGATGGAGGAAAGAGAGAGCTTTCTTTACCAGATTTCACTCCTCTCTGTGTTGATCTTTTGCATTTCATGATGATGCCTCACTGACTTGAGTGTGGAGTGTCCCTCTGGAACTGTTACAAGGAGACAGCAGATGCCAGGGCCTCAGCTTCCAGAAGCCTGACCTGGGGCTGCCACATGGCTGGGCAGGGACCTGATTCTGAGCCCTGAGAGTGGAGGCGAAGGGCAGGAAGGGCATGAGTGTGTCTGCCGCTTGCTGACCCAGCTGCGCTTCTGAGAGCTGGCCGCCCCTGATCCCCATTCAACCAGCCAGAGCGCCATCTCCTCTGTTACAGCTAATCTTTGTTCCTGCCACCAACTCATCTTTCTTTGTTATTTCTCATCATGCCCCTGCCTTCAGATTTCTTATGGATTCCTTTCTCAGGCGTCGTGTTTTGATTTCCTCCTCACATTTACTTCCAAGTGCCAAGAACAACTTTGTTCCGGCAGAAGGATATTATTCGGCTTTAAAAAGAGAAGGAGCAGTAGCTTCTCTGCACTAGCATTTGTTACGTGGATTTACATGGGAATTTATTCTGGGAGCTGTTCAGAGTCTCCCTCAAGTCTCCCACCCCCACCCCAACAACATGCCTCTGTCGCAGGGAGTCCTCTGCTTTCATCGTTTTTAACCAGATGACAATAAGAGCTTTCTTTCAGAGGCGGGGTAGAAGGGCTCAGCACACCCCCTATACCATTACTCCCCAAGGACCCTGGCTGGGCCCCCACTGAACAGTACAATGTGCGCTGTTACCCCTGTTACAGATCTGAACCTTGGCCCCAGTATTTGTGCGATAAACCTTGAGACCTGTTCTGGAATAGTTGATTTTTCCAGCCCTTGGGTGCGGAATTCATCCCTTGGGGCAGCCCTCCCTAAGCAACTGACAAGCACTCCCAGGTTTAGCTGGAGGGGGGTCGGGTCCTACTGACACTTGCTTCTCTGTCGTCATCGTGTCGGACTTAGTGACACGCAACAAGCACAGCAGCTGGTGTTCTCACCGGTCCCTGTTCCTGTTCTGAGGAGGTTGTGTTGCCCCATCTGCAGTGATTCAGGAACTTGCTGTTGGACACAGGACTAAGCTCAGGGGTCGGAAGGGCCCCCAGGCAGCAAGCAAGCCTGCCAGGCCTGTCCCCAGACAGGGGAGTGGCTGAGTCCTGGACTTGATCTGCCTGGGCCTTCTGTAAACTGGACCCTCTAGACCAGTGGACGTTCTGTCCTCCAATAACAAAGAACTGCCCTTGGGGGAGAGGGGACTGGAGGCCTTGAGAGGTCAGCCAGCAAGACTCCTGCCTCAGGGACTAAAGCTAAGTAATCAGGCTTAGCCTGCATCCAAGCAACCTTCGACTGGAAGGTGCTTCCAGGTCCGTGAATCGGCTCCTTGAGTCCCGCCACAACTCCTGGAGGAAAACAGGGCAGGTGTTATTACTCTGACTTTACCAATGGGGAAACTAATTTCCAGAAAGTTTAGTGAACTTCCTTAGAGAGTCAACTAAGTAAATTACTGGTGAATATGCGACAAGAAACCTCCGGCTCCTGACATCTCTCCTGTTTTTCCATTACCCCGTGCTGGACTTCAGCAGGGCGTAAGCAAAACATCAAACGCCAGTCGTTTTCAGACATCAGACAGGAAGCCTGTGGCTCTGGTAAAAATTATGATAGAGCTCTTTGGATTGGAAGAATCTCTTTTCCCCTATGTCCAGGAGAGCCCCTGTATCAGGGCTGCTTGTAAGAAATAGAGAACTGAGCTGTGTCTTCAAAAATGATACCAGGTTGAAGTAGGCTTGTTTTCTTGCTATTTTATCTTCTGAGTTGCCAACGACATGGACCCTGAGCAGGTGTAGCCTCAACTCCTCACTTCCTTCCAGGCCTGGTGGTGGCGCTACAGATGCTCACTTTCATCGGGCAGACCTACATTGTCTTGTTCTCCAAATTCCTCTTAATGCAGCCATAGACTCTCGGGAGAACAAGACTCCCCAAAGTGGGAGTGGGTGCCTGGATGTCCCTTTCCCATCAGTCTTCCTGGGTTCCAGCAGACAGCAGACTGGACGTGCAACTCAGTAGACACATGCAAGCAAACGTGTTCTTCTAACATTTTGTAACCTGCCTCCCACAAAACAGAAGGCACTCTTTCCCTTGCGTTCGTCCCTGCCTTGTTCTTGACATTTTTAATGTGCTGAGTCTACAGCCGACTTTGCATTCCCAACACCTCCCACTTGAATTGGCTGCTGGTCCCTCCAGGCCGGAGGATCCCAGTCACGTGCTACACCCCAGAGAACACTGTCCGCTCCCTTTCTGGGCAGGCTACCCTCCTCCTCATCTTGACATTTAAGGCCTGCTG